CATCACCACCACCACCATCACCTCCCCACCCCCCATCACCACCCCCACCACCACCACCGTCACCACCACCACCGTCACCACCACCACCCTCACCACCACCCCCAATTCCCCCCACCCCTCCCGGCAACAAACTGCACAGATGGGAATTCTGGGGGAGATGTGCTGTGCAAACTCAGGGCAGAGCAGCTCTGCCCAAGGGTTCACAGCACTCCCTCCCCTTCCCAGGATTCTCCAACCTTTGAAAGTCCCAAAGCAGCTGAGAATCAAGTCTGCAGTGTGTGTGTGTATTTATATATAAAAGGTTGATTTGTTTATTTGAAAGGCAGACTACCAGAGACAGAGGGAGAAACAGAGAAAGTGATCTTCCATCTGCTGTTCACTCCCCAAGTGGCCGCAATGACCAGGGCTGGGCCAGGCTGAAGCCTGGGCCAGGAGCTCCATGTGGCTCTCCCACGTGGGTGCAGGGTCCACGCATGGGATCCGTCCTCCACTGCTTTCCCAGGCGCATGATCGGGGAGCTGGATTGGAAGCAAGGCAACTGAGACTGGAACCTGCACTCGATTTGGGATGCTGGTGCCGCTACCCACTGCACCACAGTGCTAGCCCTCCAGACTGCATCTTAATTAGAAGTAAACACACAAAGTGCCCAATTTGCCTGGGACTGAGGAGAGGAGATTATCATCAGATATCAGAGTGTGCCACAGCGTGCTAGTGCTTCTCCTGCACTGTGTCAGTGCTTTCAAACAGGGAGGTTTGAATGGAACCAAATGCGTGTGTTGGAAGCAGGCTGATGTCCTTGGGCCTCGCACGTGATTGGGTTTCAGGAGCAGGATGTCGCTAGTCATAGAGCAAACGCACTCGCAGGTCTATGTGTGTTCTCTGAGTTAGAGAATTAAAACAAGAATATGATTTTATTAGCAAATGCACATACGATGCCACCCTGTCCTTCTGTCCCGTCAGGCCCAAGAGCTGTGGCAGGAAGCAAAGTTACCAGTGACCCGTCTCGGGGCCCACGAGCTGTGTCGGGTTGTCAGAGTGTCTCCGGTGTGGGGTCCCCGCTGTGCTGGCCTGCAGGGGTCTCCTTCTCCAGAGAGGTGGCGGTGTGGGAGGGTTGGCTGAGGATGAGAGGAGTGGTCCGGGGCTGGGCGGCGAGCAGGGTGGCTCCTGGTGCAGAATCACTAGGTGCTGTGCTCTCTCTTGCCAATGAGAAGAGAGCCTCGGAGTCCCGTGACACTGCACCCAGAGCCTCGCCCCGTCTGCTCGGCCTGCTTCCAGGGGAGCGAGCCGACAACCTCGGCAGCGGGTTCTCCTTGGCACTGTTGCTCCTGCGCGGAGGCAGCTCTGGGTAGCGGCACCGCTTCTCTAGGCCGTGAGAGCCCTGGCGAGCAGCGCACCTGCTTCGGGGCCAGGCGGAGTGAGTCCGGGAGAGAGAGAGGGGCCGGCTTCATTCTGCTCAGCGCTGGAAAGGAAGAGGCTGAAGCATGGGGCAGGGCACCGAGTCTGAATTAAAGAATTGAACAAAATATGATTTCGTTAGCAATGCGTGCGTGTGAGGTAGAGCTCTAAGTCTTAGGGCCTCTTTTACTTCCATTCTAACAGCCAAGAAAAGAAAATGGCTAAGCAACACAAGTCTCAAGCACCCCTTACCACAGAGGCTTGCACTGCCCCATACCTCTTGTCCGCCTGTCCACTCCCACCTCCCTCCAGTCAGTCGGCACCACCCACCTGTCCATCCCTGCAGACTCACTGT